CTGAGTGCAGCCAGTGCACCCCAATCGAAAATGCTATATGTTTCAAGAAGAATCATTGGGCGCATTCAGCGGACTAAATAGTTGAGTGAACGCTCGCTGTTATTGGTGTATTCTTTTAGCTCATTCAATCAGAATTTTAGATTTAGAAGAATACACCAATAACAGTGAGCGCTCACTCAACTGTTGAGTCCGCTGAATGCGTCCATTGAAAGGATTTATATTCCAGTGAGAGACAAGGTGACTCACTCTAATCAAGCACCCCGAAAAGTGAGAGGCAAGGGAATTCACTCTAATCAAGGGGTCGCACCCAGTTGGACACGGCTCAATTGAACACGAGCCACTCACAGCGCTTGAGACTATAAAACTCCTAAGCACCGGTCGCTGTAATTGGTGGTGTCCAATCGAGCCGTGATCAATCAGGATCACCCCAAAATTCATAATCAGCTACCACGAAAACCCCCGAGTACAGAGTTTTACGAAAATCTGTGAGATTCTCAAAATTTCATGTCCGCTATATGGGAAATCCGCCATTTTGAAAAGGTTATGGCCAATTGAAATCGGCAAAAAAATTTTTCCTCAAACTTCACTATTCCGATCACCGTTGATCATAGTTAGAATTGAGTCTCGAAACTCTATTGACCCAAAAAAAATTACGAAAAAAAATTCCAAATTTTTGAGTACTTTGGGGGGTGATCCCGATTGATCACGGCTCGATTGGACACCACCAATCACAGCGACCGGTGCTTAGGAGTTTTGTAGTCTCAAGCGGTGTGAGTGGCTCGTGTCCAATTGAGCCGTGTCCAACTGAGTGCCACTCCTTTGCAAATCTGACGCCATATCGAATTTTCTATTTAAGCAAACTCAATTTTGACCATGGATTCTTGAAGAGCATACTCAAAACTAGTAGGAAACATGGTTTTTGTTTGGAAATTTCTCCTCTTTATTTATAAGAATAAGGTTTGAAAATGAACTGAAAAAAAAAACGGGATTTTTGGGCGTTAATGGGTTAATATTTCCAAACTATTTACGTACATTTTTTTTTTCGTATATTTAACAATCTCTTACAATTAAAAATGATTGGTTCTGCATGAAACTACTAAATCTATTTGATTTATAATAATATTTGAATATAATTACAAAAAATGATTAGTTTACAACAACTTATATCTCTTAAATACATTTTAAAATAACACACTACATTTAAAATAATTAATTATTATATATTCTTGTCTTCAAGATAAAATTAAAAGATAGATAGAAGTCACAAAGGAACATGTACAATTAAAAAAGTAGTAGACAACTTTAATGTTTTAAAAAATATTTAGAGATCCTTTAAATATTTAAATCCTTTACTATTTATCCTTTACAGCAAGTTTCATGTTTTTGGATTCGATTGGGCATGAAAGTTCTTTTGCATTTTTTGCAAGGAATTAATTGTGCAGTGTGTTCTTTCCAATTAACATTTTCTTCTTTAATATCTGAAATTCATTGTGCATAATATATAGTTTATAGAATAATTTTTTAGTTATATTTAAAAATATACTCATTGTTTTTATCATTTCTATCATAACTTCTCTTAACTAATTCTTAAATAATTTGATACAATAATTATGCCATATTAAAGTTTGTTGGTACTTGTTGCATTATAATTAGGTATGAAACAAATGTAAGAAACTATATTTCTTTCATACTTAAAGATATGATTAATTAGGATAATTATAAAGTTTATTTCTTAATTTCTTTTTTTTTAATCTCAAGTAGGTTTTATCTTAATAGAATCTTAATCATATATACAGTTAGTTATTAATTCTAATCATTAAAAACTAACAAATATAATATACAATAACTACCAAGATTGAAGAGATTCAACAAAAGAACGACAAATTAAATTATTCTAAATTTATATACGTATAAAGTATTGTTTCGTAAACAGTGCAATTTTATTAATTTAATTAAAAATATCAATATACCTTGGTATGTACGGGAAGATATTAGTTCTCGAGTTGGTTCAGAATGGAATTGTGCAGTATGTTCTTTCCAATTAACATTTTCTTCTTTCATATCTGAAATTCATTGTACATAATACATAGTTTATAGAATAATTTTTTAGTTATATTTAAAAATATAAAGTATTGTTTCGTAAACAGTGCAATTTTATTAATTTAATTAAAAATATCAATATACCTTGGTACGTATGGGAAGGTATTACTTCTCGAGTTGGTTCAAAATGGAATTCAATTGTAACCTCTAATGATTTCTCAAGCTTTTTTGGTGGTGTTCGTGATAATTGATGTCTCGGTTTCATTGGATCAAATGTTATCTGCACATCCGTTGATTCTTGCTGTTCTTTATTGTTTTCTTCTTTCTTATTTTTTTTCTTGAGATTTAGTTTGTCGATACTATGTGAATCTGTTTGTGTGTTTATGCCAAACATATTCTTCTCATTAGAACTAAATTCAATACCACTAAATTCAATTTCTTCGAAAACTTTGGAGGGCTCTCCCATATCTGGACTAAACAGATGTCTATTGAGTTTTCCTGTAGTTTCGTTTTTCTTCCTGTTTTTATTTTTATGAGTCACATCAATTTCGTTAATATTTTCTTTATTTTCTTGATTTTGATCCAATTTCTGTAAAATAAATTTTTATATAAAAACTTCAAGTTAAATTTTTAAAAAGTTACAATATATCAAAGGCTTTAAATGTAAACAATAAGAACAAGAAACATGTAAGCCTACTACTAGATGTATTTTGTAAAAATTCTTTATTAATTATAAAATATATTTTATAATTTTATTTATATATCTACATCTATTTCATAATTTAATAAAGAATAATTTTTGTATAATACATCCAGGCTTACATACTCCTTGTTTAACTCTTAAAAAGTGTTTTTCCAAAGTTTAATTTTTTTAACTTAAGTTATTAATGTAGATAATGTATGGTCCTTATAGAAACTATTTGTTTAATCTTGTTTATATAGAATTATACAAGAGTACTTAAGATCCAGCTAGACAGTTAAAGATTCTTCTTGTTAATATGCCTACCTGATTTTGACATGCTTTATCGTCACATTTACATGACAAGTTACACTTGTTACTCTTCTTTACGCAACCACAAATCCGTGATGAACAATTGCCTTTACAGCCACAACCATTAAGTTTGACCACTGCTGGTGAAGTAACAGGAACAATTTTATGATTGGGAACATCAGGCTTTTTCAAGGTTCCCTTATGTTTTCTTAAGACATCAATCTCAAGTTGCATTACTTTTACTTGTTCTTCTAACTTGGCAATCTCTATAAGACTATCAAAATTTTCAGTCTGTACTCCTATATTTTTTGAGTTGCTAAAAAATTAAATTTTTCCTGTCGTAATCATTATCTCATAATAAAGAATAATAATAATATAGAATATAATAAAATATAACGGTTCCAATAATTCCAAATTAAAACAAAACAACAATAGGATCAAAAACCACTCAGGATAACAATTGAGTAAACAGTATTATTGTAATCAATTCTTCATACAAACTTCTTCATCCAGATGTTTCGACCCCTGTTGGGTCCTTCTCAATAATTCTCAAAAAATAAATTTAAATGTTACCGGTAACTACGCAAGATGTTAAGTATATAATAAAGGCGCAAAAATACTCGCATGTTGGTACTAATAATTGTGGCATAAAAACTACCCAATTTCAATCGGCTTCATCGGAACTAGTAGCTCGTATATTCCAGCACGAATCGTATGCAGTCTAAGATGTCATCGGCTTCATGACAATTTTACAATAAAATGGCCCATTGACATTAACAGCAATAAAGTTGAAATCCTCCTTCATATTCTGCTGATAAAACGAATCCAACAAATTGAAAATATATAAAATGAATGCGGTACGTAATATTAAAACGCAGGAGGATTTCAACTTTATTGCTGTTAATGTCAATGGGCCATTTTATTGTAAAATTGTCATGAAGCCGATGACATCTTAGACTGCATATGATTCGTGCTGGAATATACGAGCTACTAGTTCCGATGAAGCCGATTGAAATTGGACCGTTTTTATGCCACAATTGTTAGTATCAACATACGAATATTTTTACGCCTTTATTATATACTTAACATCTTGCATAGTTACCGGTAGCGTTTAAATTTATTTTTAACATTGAGGACCCAATAGGCGTCGAAACGTCTGGATGAAGAAGTTTGTATGAAGAATTGATTACAATAATACTCAATTGTTATCCTGAGTGATTCTTGACCCTATTGTCGTTTTGTTTTAATTTGGAATAATATAGAACATACTGATAATAATTATAATACTAGACTTATTCCTTAACAAGTGGTCTGTTTTCTGTTCCTGCACTAGACTGTTCAAGAACTCTCTCGCTTTAAATAAATATCAAACACATTTCTATCTTACTTTAAGTTCCAAAAGTATTCACTAGTTCAACCACAGGAAACAGACCTAAAAACGAAATGTGCGATTTTGGGTGAATCCGTTTCTCACTTACCTTGGCAATATAGTTCTAGTTCTCAGTTTCGTTCTGTTCATTTTCGAGATAGCTCTTTAGCAAGTGGTTTACAGTCTAAAATCAGATACTCGTCGAGAAACACTTAAACACGACACCCGACAATTATTGACGTTTCAATCGTTTCGATAACGGATTTAAACGGATTTCGGCGGTTTCCCTTTAAATCAAACATATGAAGGCTGCGTTCAGATACTACACTCGGGAGCACCCAAGCTCCCGAATGCCGTTCAGAAACCAATTGAGAGTATCTCAGCTGATCTCAGCGTTACCTAGGTGGCCCGTTCAGAAACGTGTCGGGTGTTCCCGATCGGGAGAATTTTGCACCCTGCTCTTTGGTTCAAAGGCTGCGTTCAAAAACATCACCCGGGTGTCTCCGTGTATTATCTTATCCTTGTTTAACACTGAGTGAACAACAAAGGGTGCGTTCCGTTTCTCGCATGATGCGCATAATGCGTCATTTATCCTTGTTGCTCACTAATAGCGTTTTCGGCCCGACCGGGTTTGCACCAACCTGGGTTGGATTAATGGCGTTTTGCGCTCTCCTATTGGTAGAGCGTGTGATATCAACCAATAGGAAAGATTAATCCAACCCAGGTTGGTGCAAATCCGATCGGGCCGAAAACGCTATAAATGTTAAACAAGGACAATAGATGCATCATGCGCATCATGCGCGATACGGAATGCACCTAAAGATAATACGATACGCGGGGGCACTCGAGTGATGTTTCTGAACGCAGCCTAAGAGTAAATTTTCACGAGCTGCTCAAACCGGCTGTTTCAGCTACAAAAAGGATCACGTGGTAAAAATTGACGAATATCAAGCGTCTATTTTGATCTTTTTTGTCGCTGAAACAACCGGTTAGAGCAGCTCGTGAAAATTTACCTTTAGATGGAAAGTCTTTTGATCGAGTTGACACACAAAGCGCGGGAAGCGAAACATGGGCTGCTTTCAGTAGACTCAGCAGTTTTGCAACCGTTTTGTGATTCGTTGCGCTGATTGGATTATACTTTTAGATTTAAAGGAATAGTCCTATCTCAGCGAAGAATCACAAAACGGTTGCAAAACTGTTGAGTCTGCTAAACGCAGCCATGGCTACAAATAAGAAATTTATTAATGCAATTTAATAATGAAAATCAAATTATATTGTGGAATCCTGAAAGTAAAAACTTATTAGTTTTTATATTAATTTGTAATTTGTCCTGAAAGTAAGTAAAATATATTTTACTTCGTTCGATTAAAATTTACGATGAAGTACAATAAAGGTTTTTTCGTCATGTTGCGTATGAAGTCCCGTTAAAGTGTAATAACGGTATAGTATTCTTTGATAAATCAATTTGTTAGCAAAATATTTATCTTTAAACGTAATTATAATTAATTGAATATGTCTAACTTGATTGCATTTATTTGCACAAAACATTTAATATTAGAGATTATTGACCTTGTTTACAAGAATCCTTGATACGCGTGTTAACTAGTAAGTGTCTATTAAATTATCTTAATTTCGGCAATGCATAAAGGTCCGTCTACAATACACGGAGTAAGAAGTAAGAGTAAGAAATTGACCAATCACAGTCGAATGTGAGAAAAATAATCGACTGCGATTGGTCAATTTCTTACTCTTACTTCTTACTCCGTGTATTGTAGACGGGCCTTAAAGAATAGTGTACTACTCCCGTACAATATGTATCAAAATAATTAATTAAATTAGTCATATCATGTATATGTTTACATGTTTCATTGAAATTAAGATAATATAGGCTGCGGTCCACTTAGCGCTTCAAACGCTACAGAGCATTTGTAGCACTGATATGACTGGTCCATTTGATGCTTCGGAAATCGGAACACTCCCAGCAACTCTGATACGTCATCAATACGTCATCGTTTTTGCTCCCACTTCGCTTCAACTGCCTCACCTCGGGAGGTGAGTTGGCTGGAGCGTTCACGTAGCAATTGTGGCATTCGAAATAGTAATGGGCCAATCGAAACGTAGCGTTTGGAGCATAACGTTTAGAGCATTTGGAAGAAGCACAAGTGGACCGCAACCTATGAAACAGAAACAATAGCCTAGTTTACACCTAGAGTCCTATATATATAGCGTTTTCGATTGGGCAAAAGTTAGTGCGCACCAGTGCGCACTCAGTTCACACCAACACTGGACGAGTTCCATGGGTTGCACTGAATAGTGCAAGTTCAAAAGAATACGCCAAGATTTTCAGTGCTAAAGCTGAAACTCATTTTTGTTCACTTTGAAGCAATGTTCAACAAAATGTTACAAAACTACAGTAAAAGATATTAAGAGTAGGGACAAGACCCCGTTTTCAATTCAACTGCGCAGATTTGCTTGTCCCTATGTATATCCTGGTATATCCTTAACTGTGATAAAACGTGCACTGAACTGGCACCGTCAAAATATCTCGTGTCACTTAGTGCGCACTGAGTGCGCACTACGCGAGTGTCGTGCGATCAAATGAACACGTGACACTAGCCAAGTGCGCATTGGCACTGCCAATCGAACACGCTCTTGACACTGAGTGATCTTTCACTCACACTCACTCTTTTAGCGTTTTCGGCCCGATCGGGTTTGCACCAACCTGGGTTGGATTAATCTTTCCTATTGGTTGATTTCACCCGCTCTACCAATAGGAGAGCACAAAACGCCATTAATCCAACCCAAGTTGGTGCAAACCTGGCCGGGCCGAAAACGCTATAATAGAGAGAAGTGACATTGATGTCCGAGTTTCTGATTGGTAGTCTGATATATATTCTGATTGGGAATCCCCTCCTAAGAAGCATCCATATTGTGACCGCAGCTGATTATATGTAGCTGCACATGTGACCGCGACACATGTGGCCGCCGACTTCAGTTGTGTCTCACTTATCAGAAGGAACGTGCATTCAACTAAGTTATGACATAAAGAATCATTACATCCTTGCTATTCACATCGAAGTACAGAATTGAAGGTTGGAGTATGTTTATGTTTCTGCTGAATTCACATTGCACCCGATTTGCGTCGTACGACGCACTTCAACCAATCAGAAAACAGAATTCCGATGATACAAAGCAAAATCCATCGGAATCCTGTTTTCTAATTGGTTGCAGAGCGTCGTACGACGCAAATCGGATGCAGTGTGAATCCAGCAATTGGATGCATTCAATACTACAATGCTTCGCTATTGGTTACACGCTGTACCAATAGGAGAGCACGAAACATCATTACTTCAACCCAAGTTGGTCCAAACTCGGTCGGGCCGAAAACGCCATAAAAGAATACACCAATTCACTTCACAACAGTTGAATCTGCTGAATGCGACCATCGAGTGCAAATCGGTATATATATTTTTAATGTTAATAAATAATTTAACTTTTAAATTACATATTTTTTGTTATCATGATAATGTACCTTATAACGTTAAAAGAATTAAATTATTTTATTAACATTGAAAAAAAAATGTAAATCGATTTAATTATCACTCAATTGCACTCCATATTGCACTAGTTTTCCCAGCGGAAACGATATATATGGCTGCGTTCAGCAGACTCAGGCCGCGGTCCGATACACGCTCACACGCTTAAAAATCATTTCATCCTTGTTGTTTGTCAAATGTTAAACGAAGACAAACAATACTCATGAGCGTTGTCAGCATGATTCGGACCACGGCCTCAACAGTTTTGCAACCATTTTGTGATTGTTCGCTGAGATAGGACTATTCCTTTAAATCTAAAAGTATAATCCAATCAGCGCGACGAATCACAAAACGGTTGCAAAACTGCTGATGCCTCCGGCACACCAGCGCGATGTTCGTCGCGCGCGACACCCAATGAGTGTACAGCTTTACCGATGTTCTCATTCTAAAGGTATACTCTCATTGGATATCGCGTGTCGCGCGCGACAAACATCGCGCTGGTGTGCCGGAGCCATGAGTCTGCTGAACGCAGCCTATGTATACTTGTTTATATGCACATAGGGTGTTTCTAAAAAAAATGAAATCGGGTAGCGAGCTGCGAGACTAGCGAGTCGATTGAGATTCGGAACATTTTTAGCTTTGGGGCTTGGAATTTTTTAAAAACTACCAAAAACAAAGCCCGACAAAATTGGGAAAGATATCGTGAGAGAGAAGAGAGGGAAGCGATTTATTGAGCTGCTCTTCCAAAACTTAGTGGGACAGATAAGTGCAAATATTCAAAGAAATTTTCTCGAAATGTCACAGGAAACAAATCTGTTGCATTGTTATCATCGCGGCTGTGGAAAGAAATACGATCCGAACGACAATAAAGACGGTAAGTTGTATATGCACTTTTTTATTAAGTTTTTAGTACTAAATTAATAACATTTACGAAAAAAAGATACTCTTATGGTTCTTTCACAGACAGTTGCCTTCATCATCCGGGACATCCAGTGTTTCACGACGCATACAAAGGATGGTCTTGTTGCAACAAGAAGTGTACGGACTTTACCGAATTCTTGAATATCAAGGGCTGCACGAAGTCGAAGCATTCCAATGTAAAACCATCGGAGCCAGAGAAACCACCGGTCGAGAAATGCAAAGTTGACAAAGTAATACAGGTTGTCACAGGACCTTTATGCAATGGAGCATCCCTGGAAAGACCTCCATTTGAGGCGTCTCAACTTGTACTGTCACCGACGATATCTCCCATTTTACTAGAACAAATTAAAGGGTTGACAGTTTTAGAAAATAATAAACCAACTGACAGCGTAGTACAGATAGGACAAACTTGTAAAAACAATTCCTGCAAGGGGACTTATACAGGGATTGCCTCTGACGAGGAGGTTTGCAATTATCATTCTGGTGTACCTATTTTTCATGAAGGACTGAAATACTGGTCTTGCTGTAAAAAGAAAACTACGGAATTTTCTTTGTTTTTGGATCAGCCAGGTTGTACGCAAGGCAAACATATATGGTTTTCCAAGGTATACCATTTATAGATAAGTTCATGATATCAATTATTTAATATTAAATTCATTTAATATGTATCTTTGACAATTGACACATAATTTATTTTAGAGTACGGGAAAGAAGGCGCAATGCAGGATGGACTGGCATCAAACTGGATCATATGTAGTCGTTTCTATATTTGCAAAAAAATATCTGCCCAGTCAGTCTACCATAAAATTAAATCCTATCCATCTGACAGTAGATTTATTCTTTGTAGAAGAAGATTCAAGATATTACCTTGATATAGAATTGAAAGGAGTACGTATTAATTTTAATATTTTAATTTTGAATGTGTAATTGACAAACAGTGTTTAAGATGTACATTTATTTTACATTACTTTTAGATTATTAATGTCGAGCAAAGTAGTGTACACATGCTGCCAACTAAAGTAGAAATTAAATTAAAAAAGGCCGAACCTGGTTCTTGGCCGAAGTTGGATGTTCCCAGAGAATCAAAGCCAAGAAACTCTGAAAGTAATGAAAATATAACAAATCTTAATTCCCAAATTGAAGCTGTGGATCTTAGTAATCTTTAAATACTGAGAATTTTTAATAGTTAAAGGATATATAATTAAATTGCTGAAATTGTAATTTACTTTTCATTTATTTAAATGTAAAAGAGAAATGTTTTTAACAAAATATGTGACCGTTTTCGTTATAGCGATCCTTAATGCGACAGAAACACATGGAAATGTATCATAAATTGTTTTTTATTTAAATTGAAAAAGTTCAAACTTGTACATGAAATATTGCATATTTTTTGTGAAGTTTAATTATTTTTTCTAGCCCTGTCTAAATGAAAAAAAGAAATTAATAGTTTTAATAAATTTAAATTAATATTTCATTATATATATAGAAGTTCTTCTTTTCCTAAAACATATATTTATAAGTTATGCTGTACTTGTGATCATAAACATGCATTTAATAATTTTTACCATAATTATGGCTGTGTAATAATCAAATTTTTTTATTAAAAAATTTTTCAAAAACAGCCATAAAAATATTTAATTTAATAGAGACCGAGCTTGTTTAGAAAAAGGTTATTCGTATTAAAATTCTTAAAATTCTTAAAAATTATTGCGTTTAAAATGAGATAAATATATATTCAAGCATTGAAGAGAGAAAAATTCGAAGATTCTAAGTACAAAAAGTGCAAGCAAAGGGAACAGACCTAAGAATAAGTGTGTTCAGATACGGAGATTCTAATACATATCGCAGTGTGTTTACTGGTGTCTAGTAGACACTGTCTACTAACCTTTTTGATCATGTGATGTACATGTATTCATACTTGAATGATGCTGGCCACTAAATCGAAATTGCGGGTAAATAATCATTGACGCATTGACGTGAAAATATATCCACAAATTAATGTATATATACTCTGTGATATATTTATCTTATTTTAGATATTAGCGCTTCACGGATATATGCAATCAGACGTGATCTTTAGTGCTAAATTAGGATCGTTGAGAAAAGGATTTAAAAAAGAAATAGAGTTCACGTTTATAAGAGCACCACATAAAGTTCCACCCCAAAATAAAACTGGTCAAGAGGATACAGATGAAAATGGTGTGAGAGAAATATCAACAAAAATATAAAATTTCTTATCCTGTCAAGAAATTGCATCATAACTTAATGAGCACTAATGATATTGCTACGTATGAATTATAGGATACGGATGGTGGTTTAATACAGAGGATCATGTGTTTAAAGCTGTAGTGCCTAGTAACTTGTGTGTAGGATTCAATGATAGTGTAACTGTGATCGAGAAAGTGTTCTCAGAACAAGGTCCTTTCGATGGAATATTGGGTTTCTCACAGGGAGCAGCTTTTGTCAGTATACTATGTGCTATGAAGAAGAAGAAAAGTGAGTTTGAAAATAATATATATATTATGTGATACACACATGTATATGGTTACATAAAATAAATATATAATTGCTATCTTCTTGTAGTATTACAAATCGAGTTTGACTTTGTTATTGTGATATCTGGATTTAAGTCACTGTGTGTACCTCACGCAAAATATTATGATGAAGAAATCGATATGCCTTCCTTGCATATTTATGGAGAGAACGATCAAGTTATTCCAACAGGTATATATGATAAATAGTTTGATATCATTAATTATAATCAATAATATTTAAAGCAAATCACATTCAATGCTTCATCAATGCTAATGTAATCCTTCTTTATTGTAGTAATGGCAGAGCAAATTAGTTGTCTATTCTCAAATAAGAAAGAGATACGACACGAAGGTGGACATTACGTGCCGAGTAAAAAAGATATTTATAGGGATTTTGTAATGGAAATGCTTAGCAAATATAAGAACTTAAGTAGTTAACAATGGTCTTATTTTATTATTAAATTTTATTTACCCGGTTTAGCATGCAATTCTATTCGAAAACAATTGCTTGTGTACATGAATAATAGATAAATACAGGGCGAATCAGTCGTTGAACTAGCTTTTTACTCTATAAGAAAATAATTGACTGCACATGTTATAATTCAATTAGATATGAAGTCGATAATTTTATCATAGGATAAAAAGTTCGTTCAACAACTCTGATTCACTTTGTATATGCTAAAGGATTTTCAAAAATATTAAATAAAGATATGTAATCATGTACAATATATTTTTGTTCACTATCACGTAGCATGACATTACTTGTGTATTGTTACAAGTCTTATCGTAGCGTATAGTTAAAATGGTGTTGCCATTAGTTATAAAACTGTATAAGTTAGACAATAATTAATAGGATACAATATTATAGAACTAAAGATCATTAATTAGAGCATATATTTTACATTTATAATTGTGTACTATATCAGATCAGATCCAGTCTGTCTTATATGACAATACGCTGTAACTACCAAATTTGTAATTTAGACATTACTAGAGTCATACATGTTAAATAAAAAAATTTAATGCTTCTTTTACAAAACATTGCATTTGATTTTCCTTGTGGTGTAAGAAATACGTATACAGAATAAGTGAAAGTGTGGAGAGAGAGAGAGAGAGAGAGAGAGAGAGAGAGAAGTTATTTAATTTGAAGATATTTTTAAAAAGTATTTAAAAATAATTAAGCTATACCTGTAATTTAAATGTAAGCTGAGGTATTCATATTTCGCACTTTGACCATAACAAAACACTTATGTTAATAATTTTATAGCTATGTAAATTTGGTTTGATGCACAATAGTGAGCAGAAATTTTTTTTACTTTTATTATCACTTTCAGTCTAATAATCAAGTACAAATTAGTACTCATCACATGTCCTTACAAGATCGACAATCGCATGACTATATAGCATCCTCATTAAATTGAATATTGAAAAATTTTGCAGCTCTGAATACTTGTGTAAAATTGCATATGTCTAATATTCGTAGGGTGTTTAGTTACCATATTCACACTCTAGTATTCACATACGTAGTACATGAGATTTCCTTTTATCCTTCTTTATCATTCAGAGCTGCCCTGACGATTACTAAATTGCGCAGAACACAAAACTTCATCGTTGAGCGACGCAACTGCGTCATTTCAAGGAGACTGCTCTTGGCCATTATTTTCCTGAGACTTCATAACGTCAGGGAGATCTGGTGGTAGTGAGAATGGTGTCATTTCGAGAGGTTCAAACTGGCCATCTGGCTGACGCAGTGCTAAACCGACTAATGCAGGACATTGTGCTTTTGCAGTTGACGATGTTAGCCCGTAATCTTGTAAAGTCTTGTTGTCTGACATTAAAAGATTGTCCTTGTTAAATAGTTGTTGATTTGCCGGTGGTACTTTCATTATACCTATAAAAAAAAGAGAGTGAGCATTAACTCCAATATAAAAGTAAGTTTTATTTTTTAAAAAACTTGCAACTATTAATGTTCATAAATTAAGAATGAACATAATTTCATCGAAATAGGAGCTTTAAGATGTTTTTGTTAGATACACTAAAAGATGTACTAATTAAAATATTTTTCATAAACTTGACATACAACTGGTCAATAATTGTTGTGTGTGTACATACACATACACACACACATAATTATTCCATTCGCTATTAATGTAATTTATTCTGTCTATACTTAGGTTTAATCCTACATTCATTCAGTGAGCCGCAAATCGTTCTATTGAAGTAACAATCATCCAATTGTGACTGGCCGAGTGACATGTCAAGAAAAAAAAAAAGATGCTGTCACTGTACTTGTGACACGAACGCCTTACCTTCAATCATTTTCTTGAGCTCGAGAACCGTAGTATCATCCTTTGCATCGGTAAATATCGTCAATTTTTTTCGCCTGATCATTAAAAATACGTCCTACAACGGGAAAAGGTTGTGAATAGATTTACAGGTTAGTCGACCTGAATCGTCGACCGGACGAGACATCGAAAACGGATTCTTACCATTGTGAGCCTAATTATGTACACCTAATATCACAATGTAACGATAGGATTGTTGTATCGTCACTGGAGACCGTTCTATGTCTCAAAACTTTATGTTTACCAGCAGACCTTCAGGTCAGGGGTACACCGGACCCACGACCGCATGCAGTAACCTCAGATCGTGAAATTTACTAACGCATGCGTGCTCCTGCCGACCCCTACACGCGTATGCGCAGCTGATTGTACAGTGAAGGCCCGTCTACAATACACGGAGTAAGAAGTAAGAGTAAGAAATTGACCAATCACAGTCGATTATTCTTCTCACATTCGACTGCGATTGGTCAATTTCTTACTCTTACTTCTTACTCCGTGTATTGTAGACGGGCCTTTAAGCCTTGTGTCTACGATGCTAGAAATCGGTCCGAGATCTCGGATAGAGAAAAAATTAACAAATCGCATTTGAACAATTTGATCACATGACTATTGCGATTAGGTCAATTCTTTCTTCATCCGAGATCTCGGACCGATTTCTAGCATCGTGGACACAAGGCTTTATGCAGGTTACGCCGCATGTGACGGCACCCTGATACGGGCTATAGTGCTGTCAGTTGACAGTTGGCTCCCTGAACAGCGGTAGCGCTACATAGCACTGGTAGTTAAAGTCACTAGATTTATAAATCTAGTGACTTTACTGGTAGTGAGCTCCCTGAACGCACCTTTTGAATATAAGATCTGACTATGAATACCGGTCTTGGTTAACTTTTAACTTATGCTTTTAGTAGAAGTGAATAGAATATTATCCAAAGACGTAAAGAATGCACTGCGCGATCCGTGTGTCAAAATGATCGATAGGGATGAGAGAGAGGGACCGTGGCAGACGGCCATTTTTATCTCTTTCCATTCAATGGTGTAATGAGAGAGAGAATGAGAGGGAGATTGGCCGTCTCCTACGGTCCCTCCCTCTCATCTTGTCGACCTTTGATACATTACTTGCATACGGATCGCGCAGTCCATTCTCTATGGTTGGGTTCAGGGAGACGCTATTAGCGATATTTGTGTCATTCCATCTTCATCGTCCATTAAATGTGAAACAAGGATAGTTTGACACAAATTGCGTTGATAGCGCGCTCCCCGAACGCAGTCTATGTCTTTGATATTATCAGATACTCCACTGATGTGAGAAGAAATTGACTTTAACTCATTCATAGGTATTGTGTGTATAACATGTATATTGATGTATATAGTCATTTAGTTACAATTTTGCGAGTTTCGATGAAATTAATCGATCTTTCCATTGTACTTGATATTGGCTTGATATAGAGAGTTAAGAATCTGATAACAGATTTATCTTAATTTTTATGTATAGAGTATAATATAATTATATCATTAAAATACAATAATTTAATGTGTACTTAAAAAACATATATTTTCTATTTCTTATTTCCTTTCAGTTAAAAAATGTTATCTCTCCCTCATCAGCCTCCTTTATACAGTGACAATGATAATGTCGAAAGAGTACGCATAGGCAGGAATTATCATGTTGATTTTGTCCAACAATTTGTGAAGAATGTTCGTAGCTTTAGTTCTCAGTATGGCGGTAATTCTAGCATATCTTATGCTGCTACTAACATAATTGGACCATTTAGTCAATTTCCAAATTATGGAGATTTTGCACAAACATTTGCCATGGTATGTATTTCTTTACTTGTTATTGTCTTAAAAGCTGAAAAGCAATTACAAATTTTTCTGCATTTCCAAATGGTTATATTTTAAGTCCAATTGCACCAACATTCTTCTAACTTTAAGCAAAGCTTAAAAATTTTTCTACTTTTAAAGTTAACAGAGATGGAAAGAGAGAGAGTTTTAAGCCTTGCTTAAAATTAAAGTAACGTTTGTGCAATCTCGGCCTTGTTCTTTTATTTATAACTCTTCAATTAACCTCCCATAAAACTGATAATAGATATATGAACCGTGTTTCAAAATTCATTGCAAGTGTTGAAAATCTATAGTGTACATTACGTAAACTGTAGATTTTTAGCATTAGCAGTGAATTTTGGAACAAAGAATTTTTGAATAAGGATTGAAATAAATGTAGGAGATCCATCAATTACAACTTAATTATTCATATCTAGAATGACATCATTCCAATAATAGCAATCTACTTTAATGCCATAAAATTTTATAATATTTTTTTTCTAACTGTTTCATACAGAGGACTTATGGACCGTGGTGGGATAAAGCACCTTCGAGATCAATTGATTATATGCCACAGAATAATACAGATGTTGTGAGCCAAGATTATATTGGTATGTAATATTTGAATTAATAAATAAAAGATTGTTAAAAAATACATTTCTATTGAGAAGAAAGAATATAATTGTATTTTTTATATTCAAGATATTGAGTATCATGAAGCTGTGTATCCAGTAAGAGTTTCTATATACGAAGTATATAATCCTGGGAGCATAATTCGAATTTGGGCTGAAGAGTTTAGAGGTCGATGGTTTCTACTGTGGAATGGACCACCTCAGATTGTTCCTCCAAAATCACGGATATTTTCTCCGCCTTTACAATCGTGTGACTTTAAAACCAAACTACTCAGATTAGAATTTAACCACAGTTTATTGGACTACTACACAGAGATAGATGCTGTGATGCTTATTGGAACATCAGAATTGATTTTTCCTAGAGATCCAGCTCACAATCATAGTTTAACTAATCTGTTAATAAGCATTAATTGCGACTTGTTTGAAACTCCTTGCCATGAGGATATCCATAATTTAACACCAAACTATAAAAATGCATATTTGGATATAATCCATCTTAAGAAGACATTGATTAAACATTGTGTTCTGTTCAAAAGGTATTACAATTGTCAATAGTAAGATTTATTCTTTTTTTGATGAGTGCAAATAAGTTTGTACCAATGTTATTTGTAGCGATGTAGTAGCAAATTTTCACGACAGCAACCTAGCATCTCAGCTAAGATCCCTTTATTATTGTGTACCACCTCTTAAAGAAGGATCTGATAGTATGCAACGCTTTTTATCAGAAGAACTTTCAAAGTTTATGAAAGATGTTAAACACTCTTTAGATGAATCCAAGAAGCCATCACGTTATAATTTTTCTGCACTTCCTGTAAAGTATACTAAGAAGTTTTTGTCACACATATCAATATTTACTGTTATTTTGCTTATTAAAATTTTATATTTTATCTTGCAGGATGAAATAATAATGAGAATATTAAGAAACTTGGACCTAAAGTCATTATGTCGCATGAGCAGAGTAAATAAACATTTCAATAATTTAGCACAAGACCATCTGCTTTATACAAGTTTAAACTTAAAACCATATTGGCACGTTATTAAGAAAAAAGCATTGTATTACTTAGCACCTAGATGTAAATATTTACGACGGTTGGATCTTTCATGGTGTGAGACATTTTTTTTCCCGGAAATTGACAATTTTCTTGTCACTTGTGGTAGTCTCTTAACACATTTACGATTAAATTGCTGCTTATGGATCAACAACAACGCCATGCTTAAAATTTCAAGAATATGCAAAAATTTGAAAGGTATATATACAAATGATTATTATAATCATGAGCAAATTATATAATCGGTACATATATATTTTTCTTAGAATTAGGTCTACGTAATTGTGACTCGATAAGTGAAAAGGGATTCTCATATCTCGAAAATCTGGAGTTCCTGGAGCATTTGGATCTTTACAGGACACATATAAATACTCAAACTCTTTGCAAGATACTGCGAAGAAATATACGAATGCGTCACTTACGTATAGGAGGCACCGACAAAAGTCTGAATGTAGATGAAGTTGCAATGGAATTGAAAAATTTCTGTCCAGATTTGGAAAGTATAGATTTATGGAAAACACACACTCTTACATCGCAAGGTATTGATGCCCTTGCTGACTGCAAAAATCTACGAGAAGTGGATTTTGGTTGGTGGTACGTGTTATGTCACACTTTCTTTGAAAATACATGTTCTGTCGCACTTTTTGCAGAATACGTTTTCCTCATTCCTTTATGGGATGACGAATCAAATCTGAGATTAACTTACTAACTAATAAGTCTATTGTTCTCATACGGATCTATGCGTGTGTAATCCCAGTTTTTTTAAAAACAAACAAATTATCATATTCATCAAAATTTATATGCTTGTATCTTGAAATAGCTGTATTGTCTTTCTGTTTACGATTAAACATTTTTTTTATTTACAGCGGCAGTACAACTGGTCATGGTGATAGCTTCCGTAGATTGTTTTCCTCCTGTCAACACCTGGAAAAAGTTTTCCTGACCTCTGTTAGAGGCCTTACTGAACGTGATCTAAGAGCACTGACATTGTGTAAAAATTTAAAACAGTTAGATTTGTTAGGTACATTATCCCTGACAGCTGAGATATGTCACGCAATTTTCATGAATTGTCCTAAATTAGAGATGATTGATCTCAGCTTTTGTGACAATATTGCCGATTGCTCGATTCAGCAGTGGCAGCAAATATACACACATATAGCCATTAAAAGAGTACACTGCGAATGGTGATTAGGTCTAATATAAATTTTAAGATTTAATATAAATCTTTCTCTCGAGAAAATCACATTTTCAAAAAGTGAGCTAAGTGTATGTATCTCTTGAAAGAACGAGATAAATATGTTTTAATTGTACATTTTACATATATTTAAACTTATTTTTTAAATAAAAAACAAAAAATTATGTTAATTAGGAAGTAAAAATTTATATACGATTTAAATCTCATTTTTTAAATATTTATTAAAATGTAATGAAATCGCATTTTATATTACAACATCAGGAAATACATCGATTTCTTAATCAGATAAACTTCACCTATCTGGGAATAAAATCGAATCAGTTCTGTGATTCGAAATTACAGTTTCAGTGATGTGGTACTTGTGTCTACTGCTAAAAAAGAACTAATTGCAATAGATTTTCATATATTTGTATATATTTGTACTCTGTTATTAAAATTTTTTTATTTCAACAAATCTCTTATATTCTGTCTTTTAAATATTATGAATTGAAAGTAAAACTTTGTAGTATGTGTTCTAATATTTCTATTAAATATATTTATGTTTCATAAAATAAAATCGAATCGGTTCTGTGATTCGAAATTACAGTTTCAGTGATGTGGTACTTGTGTCTACTGCTAAAAAAAAACTAATTGCAATAGATTTTCATATATTTGTATATATTTGTACTCTGTTATTAAAATTTTTTTATTTCAACAAATCTCTTATATTCTGTCTTTTAAATATTACGAATTGAAAGTAAAACTTTGTAGTATGTGTTCTAATATTTCTATTAAATATATTTATGTTTCATATTAATATTTAAATATTAAATAATATATATATTATTAAGTATTATTTTAAGTATTTATAGATATTAAGGTTTGTTTGCATTACATAATTCTTCAACATTTTTGTACTTAAAACGAAATAAATATACATATACTTGGTCGTTGAAGAGAGAGAAAACGAAATTATCTATTTAGTTGAAATATTTTTAAGAAATAAGTTCTCTTTGTTTCTTTACAACTAACATTAATATTTATATGTAATAAATCGGATGGAAATTTAATAAACTTTATTATTGCTAATAAATCATATTATTTAGTTTAACATCTTTATATCAATGGTTCCGTTCAGCAGAACGTTTATTTTGCAACTGTTGGAAGTTTTCTACTCGCTGATTGGATCATTTTTTTAGATTTAGAGAGGAACGATTCTATCTGCGAATCATAAAACGAAACTATTTTTCTGCTGAACACAGCCATCTCTGTATCCTTTCCTTTATCCTTATTTCTCTCATGACTGAATCGCACAATCAACATTTTGGCGTTTACATTATTTGCTAATTAAATTTTTCTATTCAATTAATTAAGAGTTAGATCTACAAAACCAACCAATAAGAGCGAAGCAATTATGCTAATTCCTCTTATAGATTGCTTATACATAATCAACAATGTAGTTGTTTAACGTACTAATATGGGTAACTAGTGACCGAGCGATTACTGTACGTGCAAGTTTCTTTGAGTCTTTCGGTAATTATAAATTATATATATATATATATATATACACATTTTATTATTTTCCAAAATAAAGAGTCAATATTTATTCTAGAAAGTTGAAAGTATGTTGGTGAATTTTTAGAAATTTTTTGAATTATTTTGAAGAGGTGAAAAAAACGAAGACATTCTAGTGACCCTTGACGGTATGGATGAGGCACCAAATTATAGATAGTAAGGGTTAATACTCAGCTTAATGGTGTTGATACAGAATGAGCTTACTATTCTTAAGCCTATTCTACAATGTGCTTTTTGTTTTCTGTTTTTTGCTTTTTGCTATATTTTTTTACATCTTGTCTTTTTACTTCTTATCCGGTTTTTTGTTTTATGTCGCCCGAGATAAAAGTTAACGAACTTCGAAAAAAACAAAACATACGTAGCAAGAAACACAATTGTCGATAAAACGGTTGTAAAGGGGAAAAAAGCAAGAGGTAAAAGCAAGAAACAGGAAACAAAAAGCACATTATAGAATAGGCTTTATGGTTCCTGTACACAAGACGTGGGAACATTTGTTGCGTAATGAAAGTTAGCATGGTAGCCAATCAATTTATCACTTTTCTATAAGAGTGAAAGAATAATTGGTTATAATAATTGGTTAACTTCCATCGCACGGCAAGTATTGCTGCATCCTGTGTGCAGAAGCTTGAATGCGTTCAACAGAGAAAGCAGTTTTGCAACGGTTCCAAAATTCTCCAATAAGATTGATTTATATATTTAAATCCATAAGGAACTAAAGGTAAGAACCAATCGTATTAAAGAATTTTAAAACAGTTGCAAAGCTGCTTCTCCGCTGTCAGTTGTGTGCGGCTATGTTACTTATATTATATATGGGACACTGCACCTGACTTGAAAGTGCTTGAAAGTTGATATTGGAATTATTGGTGAAAGATTTAGTAATTAGAAGGTAGGTGCCATATTAAATAAACAAAGTTACGTTGTATTTATATTGGCTGATAACCATGCCCTGGTAGCAAGCTGACGTCAAAAAGACGTCATTTGACGTCAAAACGACGTCAAAATGACGTAGCTTGCTACCTGGGTGATTTGATAAAAGTAAGCAAAGAAAGTTAGTTGCTACATGCAGTGTCTAATGTTATCATCATTTGGACAGTATCGCAAAGTATTTTGCTGAATTAAAGTCTTTCGAGATCAGGCACCGAGGCATCATTCGGTTGAGAAAATCTAGACAGTAGCGTATCAGGGAAGCATAAAACTCAAAATTTTTGGTACAACCGATCAAGATATTTTAACGGAAGACAAACAAGTATGGAAGCGAAAGAAGTAAGTTGTTATTCTCTCTTCAACTTTGTTGAATGGGCATTATTGGAATGTTAGAAAACATATAAAATTTTGCATAAATGAATTAATACATTCGTAATATTTTCTAAAATAAGTAACAGTTTATACACTTTGGTCGCATTCAAAAACTTTGATTTTGAAAACCTGGATGCATCCTGCACGTATCATTTTATCCTTATTCACTGAATGTTAAACAAGGATAAAATCATACATATGGAGCACCTGGGTAAAGTTTTTGAACGTAGCTGTGTATAACAAAGAAAACTATATGTATAGCCAAATATATCAAATCTAATTTTTACTACATGTGTAATTGTAATGTGATTAAAAATTGTCATTGTAGAAAATTTATTTTAAATGAATGTATTATTTGTTAAAATTAAAGATAGAACTTAATGGTTTTGCTCTGTAATGCAAAAAACATTTAAGAAATGGCACATAAAACATATAAAAAGAAAATGCATAATAAATTAAAATTTATATAAGATATATAAAATTACATAAATGGAAATTTCTTGAAATTTAATAAAAATTATTCAATGTTTAGATGCAAGAAAGCAGTTTACTAATTATTTTATTGAATTTTTACACAGAATTTTGACAAAATTTTTTAATGTTCTAGTTTTCTTTTGTTACTTGATTATTCATTAAAATTTTTTGTGATTATTTTATATAAAATTTAATGATAGTTATTTTATACTTTAAAAAAAGATATTAGATATAGTATCTAAAAAATTCCTATTTTGTGAAATTGAATTTTAATTTTGGAACTCTTTTTACTCATTCAATCTATTTTTTATTAACAAATGTATATAGAGAGGCATACCAGATTTTTAGGACACTCTTATCTTTATCATTTTTATCATTCATAAGTAAATTATTTCCAGGTTCCTGTCGAAGATGAAGCTGAGGATACTTCTGAGATTCTCCCAGAAAAGAAACAGACGGCATCACCATCATACTTTTTATCATATATTAAAAGCTATTGTGAAACACAGGTCAAGTCCACTACATTAGATCACACATGGAAAATTGAGCAATTTGTGCATCTTTGTAAGATATATGATACGTTTTTTTCTCCATCATTTTCAGAAAACGGTCAATACACAATTGAAGTAGTTTCACATAGAATTGATCAGTTTCCAAATACAGTAAGATTTTATATTCTTACCAATAAAGTATTTCACGGTTCATGTGTTACTACTATAAAATATCCGCTTCATACAGTTTTATCATCAAAGTCGATTATGGGTCGTATATCGAACAAGACATTGTTAATTGAACTCCCTAGATTCGAATTTAAGGCTGATACTAATAATACATCGCTTTTAGTACATTGCAAGTTCGACATTTTTCGTAATCTGGTAAGTGATACTATACAAATGAAATTACTGCCACCCTCAGCAGTATTTTCAAAAGATGTGAGATATCCTCAAGACTCAACACTTGACGAGATTCAATCTAGCAATGAGAAATCAGTAACATTTATAATTGGAAAAGAACAGTATATTATATCAAAAAAATTGTTGTGTGCCACCAATAGTAACTACTTTAAGAAAATCTGTTTTACACATGACAAGAAAGAAAAAGATATGACGAATGAATTAAAGAATTATGAATTACAAGCTTTTAAAATGATGTTAATATATATTTTAACTAGTTCAGTAGAATCACGCGATTATGACATGCTTAAAAGATTGTTAACAATAGCCCATAGATATGATGTGGTAGCTTTAAAATTAACGTGTGAACATTATTTGCTACATTATATTACGATGCAGAATGCCGTAGAACTTATGCAGCTTGCGTTTTCAACTAATGCAAAATTTTTAGAAAGACATTCAACAGCTTTTATTAAGTTTAATATAACAGAAATCATGGATACTAAAGAATTTCAAAATCTACCAAAAGAATATTCAAACAAGGTGATAGAATTGTTATAAAAAGTGATAAAAAATTATTTTTCTTTTCCACGAATACATCATAATTTTTAATTTTTATATGTATAAGAATCTATATCTACAATAAGTATTTTGATATAAATTAAAAATGATGTGTAATTTAAATTTATATGTACGATTAAAACTATTATGAATTATATTTAATGTTTAGTTATAATTTTCTCAGGTTGATTTAAAAAGAAAAAATTAAAATTAAAAGAATATTTATGTTAATTATATAGGTTTTATTTATTTTTTGTTTTAATATTTTATCTATATAATTAAAAGTTTCCAGTTGTTTTTTTAGATCATCCTGAGTATATATTATAGTATCAGAGTTTTTACTATTGTTAGTTGTAACTATTCTTTTTAATATAATGTTAACGTGATAGCGAGATTGCTTCAATAAATTTAAAACTTGTATTTCAATATTTATCACAAGCATACATTTTTTTTGCATTGATTAATTCGGGTATCATCAAAATTAAAATTGCAGTTAATTAAAACTAATTCGAATTCATAATTTAATATTTTGTTATTTAAGATACAAAAGTAAATTAATTTATATATTTCATTATTTGTGTATTTCTCTTCCCGTTCGTTTATCTCAATTTTTAATTCGGAAACATGAGCAAATTATATATGAAGACATCCAGATAGATTTAATGTAAAGTACATTATCCGATTGTCTACAGATAACAAAAAAATTTGTTAATCTAAGAATGATCTCAAAATAATTTGAGTGACCAAGATTTGGTAAATAAAAAATCAAACGTTATATATGTAACAACATAAAGAAGTTTAATACTACAGTGAGAAGTTCATATAAATTTCCAAATGTTAATTTGTTCTTAGCAAGAATTGATAGAGCTTACATCTTGAAATCTTTAAGCTTCATTGGCCGCATTATTGACATACGCTTGTCATCAACATTGATATCTATTTTGACAAAGTGTAAGAGTTTACTTATGTAGAAATTACATTTTATATTTGAAAATGTTCTGTTATTTTATGTATTAGCATCTTTCGTTAAATTGATTGTATCTGGTTATAAAACAAATTGTTGTGCAATGCAACTTTAATTAAGATTTTTTAAATTTTACTTCTCCCTTCGTATAAGATTTTAATTATTAATAACTTTTAACTAAAAGTGCGCAAACAAAAAATTGACTGTTTTGAAATGTGCAAATAAAAATCTATCGATTAATGTCATTTTTATAGCAACTATGATTTGAACCTATACCGAAGTCAACCGTTCTCGAAATTTTAATTGTACTTTTTAACTGAAAAACTTTTTGATTAAAGGTATATATATGAAAGATCGATCTGTTTCGAAATGTGCAAACGAAAATTTATCGATTGAGACTTTCGATCTAATTTGTTATTAGTTGGGAGGGTGAAGTTGGTCACTTAAAATTGTTTTTTGAATAATTTTTTTACTGGTAGGTCGATCTTCATAGTCCGTTCTTATTTTAAGATCGATACTAATACGGTTCTCTGATTGATTCGTGACATCTTAAAATTATACTTAGACGGTCTTGATTATAAGAATCGACTATGAATATCGCCCGAAGTGTGCAAATGCGAAAATTTGAAATGTGCAAACGATAAGTACGAGCCATAGAAAGTTAATTTTTTGTGAAGTTGGGGAGCTAACTTCACGCGTTATGAAAATAAGAAGGGTCGTTAGAGAGGCGGTTTGCGCACTTTCCACCCTTGTGACGACTAATTAAGCATGCTCTGATGTAATAACTAGAAGCCATTGAGTTACCCTGTACTGTGGAAAATAAAGTGTTCGATCGTGAAGATTACTAATATACAGCACCTGTCCACGAAACTCACAATCTTTTGCGTCTCTAATGAGGAATTCCAAGTTTTTTTGAGAGAATGTGGCATATTTTAAATTTAATTTTACTCTGCCGTAAAATTATTAATCCTAACTTAGAAATTATTATTCGTATTCAATCAAGAAACTCCGCATTATTAAGAATTTCGGAATATTAAGAAATACTTTTATTTACTACGATTTTTTAATTTTTAATATAAATTATATTAGGAAGCATATATACATATATAAATTCCGTAACAGGATCTATTCAATATCAACTTGGAAAATATTAATAATTACACTTGAAATTTCATTCACAAAAGAATTCATCATTTGTCTTAATTCTTCAACAATTTTCGTCTGAAATATTAACAGTCAATAATTCTAATATCTAACAATAAACTACGGCGCGTTGATTGCGAGACCCGGTACAATGTATAAGTTGTTCATTCTGGAAGGCAAACATAGCTCTTCGGTGTAAACCTCCATGGAAACCTTCCGGTGTTATATTAGGAGTGGAAAAGGATTGGTGCGTGTGATAAGACCTTTCCAAAATATTATTAACCACCAGCAATGTTGCTATTGCTGCTTTAACGCTCCGGCAGCGACGAGCTTAATTATCGTACGACGCCTCGAGTAACGAGGGTTGGCACGTGGTGACGTAATGTACGAGAAGGGCCTAAATAGCCGAGACCATTGTTGTACATACAACGCATACGTCGGATCTGTTGAGGCATTAATAGTCTCGCGTGACGTAATTAACTCGCAACCGACGAATTTCCGGTATTACGGGGTAGCGTATATACGTTCAGAAGGGTGTCCTCAGACTCATGCTTGATACCGGAAGTGGGTCGCATCCACATTGAGCCTGAGGATTTAAGCGGGCACAACCCTTTCTCGCAAAAGTTCGGTTCGAGAACCATCGTTTATTTACACACACAATGCTTGTTTAACGGGTGTGTCGGTGACATGATGGATAATGTACGGCGTGTCCTCGATGGGCTTTGTTTAAATATCACAAAAAGAAACCTCTTATTTATAGATATTATACATATCATTAATCATCTTTTTAAATGAGAAAATTTAATCTTTATGCTGTTATGTCAAATATTTCAAACTTTCTTTTAACAATCATAGTCCAGTAAACACTAACTAACAGTAACATAACATCAATGTTTTAATTTCACACTCAACCATGTAACTATTATGTAACACTTGTGTTATACTACATTTATATTGTTGAGTGTTATACTACATTTATATTGTTATATTACTGTTAATTTTACTGAGAGACATAAAGTAAGGGAAAATTAAATATGATTTACAAAAATAATAGTTTACGCAAAAGTTAAGTGTAACAAATTTTAATTTATACTTTTCAAATTTATTAATTTTATATTATAAAAATAGATTACTTTTTATTGGTCTGACTAAGGAAATATAATTTTACATGTAATATACAGTAATTAATCATTTAATTTTTTTAATTTCGAAAATATTTGAATTTTTGAAAATACTCTGACTTTTCTTAAGAAAAATATTCTTCAAAAATCATTAATTATAAGACTAAGTTAAATAAGATAAAAGCGTATAAAAATATAAGCATCAGAGCATAAGTATGCGCCATAAATCTAGATAAGAAAGGATAGTTTAATCAGTCATGGCGTTAAACGCGGCTGAAATAGCGTAAGTTGTACTTAAGCAGGCGTAAACAGTTAGCAAATGAGAATTTCGCGCAGATGCGATCAGCGCTGCCGCGGAAAACATTAATCTCCCAGCTTGCGAGGCGTGCTTTCTCCTTAGGACCGTCGCAAAAAGTCAGTCAAGTCGAGAGACAAAAGTAGGTTTCATTTTCACCGCGTTTTTCCGCTCCGTTAATGTTACCGCATGCGACGTAGACGAGCACATCTAATGGCTTCTCAAAGATTCACGGCCGCACAAAAAGCTGCGAAAAGGATCTGCGAGAGGGAAAAAAGAACGAAATGAAATGTAAAGCTTCAAGCAACGCGTTCAAAGTTGCAAAAATGTAGGCCTAAGTTTTCTTATTAACTAAATACATTTTAAATATTGAGGATATTTTTTTTTTTCGTTTATTTCAATCTTATCTAATGAAAGTTTTATTGTAAAAATATAAATGTGTTAACTTAATATTTAGAATTATTTACGTGTTTTTTTTTATTTATTTATATATAATAAAATTGTATACAATTAAACAATAAGTCTATTTTTTTTAATCACATAATACATGCATATACATAGAAAAATATAAAATACTTTAAAACTACAAAAGGCTGCGATATAAACAAATCGCAAGTTTTTAGGCGATAACATGTTAAGCAACATGTGAAAAAAGGTGCATGAAATTCTTTATTTATCTAATAGAAATTATTAAGCCACACAGTCGAAAATCGCAACATTCAAATTTTCAAAATCTCAATCGAAATTATAGATTCTTCAAAGATTTTAATTTATGAAATAATTTTCTATAATACTAATGTAAAATACATGCGATTTGACTCGTCGTTGTTTTAAAGTTAATATTTTATATAATTGACGTTCTATTCTAAATAGATTATCGAAAGCGATTGAACACTACCTTTGTATACAAAAAGGCACTTTTATAATAAAATTTATTTTAATAAAATTTAAAATATTTTTTAATTTTTCGGAAATAAATATGTGTCTCATTGAGACAATCAGATACTAAAAACAATAGGTTTGTCTCATTATTGTTTTGAATATTTTAAACTTATTTCATATCTATCTCGAAATATAATAAACAGATCCATTGTTTTAAAACTTAATTAGCTTCTAACTAGTCCTTTTTAAAATTAAATTTAGATAATTATATAATTGTTTTATAGCTTTTAATTGGAATTTCAGAATAATAATTCATTTCTTAGTAATGCTAAATGGACGGATAGATAGATATACATATATCTTACTGTTAGACTATTTACATAAATGAGAATTCTGGAGATCTGCTTTTAACGTACAGCATATGGACAGATTAAATTAAATGTATTTACAAGCTGGCTCCTTAAACTAGAACCAGAGTATATTCTTTGGTAATTTCGGAGTTGATTTTTTTCTAACGATAGTTCAACGATTATCTATATATAAAAATTGTGTATTTAATATTACAAATTTTAGAGAATAAAATTTTTTAAATATA